GGTCCCTAACATTATTATTTACTTGGTTAAATATACACAATGCTGAAGAAAATTAAGCCAGGTTCCGACCACCTCTCCTCTCCTCTCCTCCTCTTGACCCTGGGTGTTAAATTTCACACTCGTGGGCCTCCCTTCCCTTCTCTGTTTGTCTTGTATGATTCACACGGGTAAGGCTCCATTATCATTCACACGGGTACGGTTCCATTATCATTCACACGGGTACGGCTCCATTATCATTCACACGGGTAAGGCTCCATTATCATTCACACGGGCACGGTTCCATTATCATTCACACGGGTAAGGTTCCATTATCATTCACACGGGTACGGTTCCATTATCATTCACACGGGTACGGTTCCATTAGGATTCACACGGGTACGGTTCCATTTCACACAAGGCTCCATTATGATTCACACGGGTACGGTTCCATTATCATTCACACGGGTAAGGCTCAGTATGATTCACACGGGTAAGGCTCCATTATCATTCACACGGGTACGGTTCCATTATCATTCACACGGGTACGGCTCCATTATCATTCACACGGGTAAGGCTCCATTATCATTCACACGGGCACGGTTCCATTATCATTCACACGGGTAAGGTTCCATTATCATTCACACGGGTACGGTTCCATTATCATTCACACGGGTACGGTTCCATTAGGATTCACACGGGTACGGTTCCATTATCATTCACACGGGTAAGGTTCCATTATCATTCACACGGGTAAGGTTCCATTATCATTCACACGGGTACGGTTCCATTATCATTACACAGGTACGGTTCCATTGCAAGTTCACACGGGTACGGTTCCGTGGGATTCACACGGGTACGGTTCCATTAGGATTCACGGGTACGGTTCGTGGGATTCACACGGGTACGGTTCCATTAGGGTTCACACGGGTACGGTTCCATTAGGGGTTCACACGGGTACGGTTCCATTAGGGTTCACACACGGGTACGGTTCCATTAGGATTCACGCGGGTACGGTTCCATTATCATTCACACGGAGTGCGGTTCCATTAAGTTCCACACGGGTACGGTTCCGTGGGGTTCACACGGGTACGGTTCCATTATCGTTCACACGGGTGCGGTTCCATTATCATTCACACGGGTACGGTTCCATTAGGATTCACACGGGTACGGTTCCATTAAGTTCACACGGGTACGGTTCCATTAGGATTGCACGGGTACGGTTTCCATTAGGGTTCACACGGGTACGGTTCCGTGGGGTTCACACGGTACGGTTTCCGTTAGGATTCACGGGTACCGGTTCATTAGGGTTCACACGGGTACGGTTCCATTATCATTCACACGGGTACGGTTCCATTAGGATTCACACGGGTACGGTTCGTGGGATTCACACGGTACTGCGGTTCCATTAGGGTTCACACAGGTACGGTTCCGTCAGGGTTCACACGGGTACGGTTCCGTGGGGTTCACACGGGTACGGTTCAAGTATCATTCACACGAATTTTTGATTTCCATTAGGATTCACACGGGTACGGTTCCATTAGGATTCACACGGGTACGGTTCCATTAGGGTTCACACGGGTACGGTTCCATTATCATTCACACGGGTACGGTTCCATTATCATTCACGGGCACGGTTTCACGGGTAAGGCTCCATTATCATTCACACGGGTACGGTTCCATTATCATTCACACGGGCACGGTTCCATTATCATTCACACGGGCACGGTTCCATTATCATTCACACGGGTACGGCTCCATTATGATTCACACGGGTACGGTTCCATTACATTTACACAAGGCATAAGCTTGTAGCATAGATAGATAGATAGATAGATAGACACAGACAGACTGACAGACAGACAGAGACAGATAGATAGATAGATAGATAAAGAACAAACGAATAAGAAGAAGGAAAATAGACAATAAAGATGTGAGAGGAAGACGAAGCGAGTGGCGCGTGTCTGCCTCGATCGTTACCTCACCTGTAAATTACTGGAACATTAATTAAATTCCCTCGGCATTACCTGTCGTAAAATTTAACCCCGTCTTCAACTATGTTTATATTATTAACTATAAATCGATTTTTTTTTTATAAATATTATTGATTGATGTAAAAATTATTGGAACGTGGTAGAGAATTGTTGTGAAATACATTTATATATATATATTATTGTATCTAATTTACTATAGTCGCAAACAGACTTTTAAAAGACTGTAAACAATATAGGTATTATTTTTTTTAACTTACTTGTGTAATTAAACTAGACTGGTATTTTTATTTTTTACGTGTTTAATTAACTCTTAGTGCTATTTCATTTATTAATTATATCGTATAACAGGAAAAATAAATACAGAAATAATATCAACAGTCAGAGATATTTGCCACACACGTTCAGACAGACAGACAGACAGACAGACAGACAGACACACACACACACACACAGACAGACAGACAGACAGACAGACAGACACACACACACACACACACACACACACAGACAGACAGACTACAGAAGAGTTATACACCCAGGGAATACATCCTTACTAAGTATGTAGATATACCCGGTTCACTCAGTATTATTAATTGCTACACCGTGATGACCAAACAAAAGATGGCGGGAACAAGAACATCAAACATAATAACGATTTAAAGTTTTCTAAAATAAACTCGTGGAAAAAAATACACAAGGATTTTTTTTAAATATATATAATTTGTTCGTTCAATGTTATTTTTTTATGGCTTTATGAACACAACATTTCTCCAGATATATTTCAGCTAGACCAATCATATCCCTCGATAATTACCAGAGAGATAATAATCATTGGCTGGGATGCTCTACTTGTGTATAAACGTGAGAGCTTCATAATTGAACACTTGCATAGCATCCCCAGCCGATGATTATATCTCTGACAGTCATCCAGGGATGTGATTGGTGGAGTCCGGACACCGCTACAGTAGACGACGACTGACCAATGTAGTAGACGGTCAACACAGTCAAAAACTTCGACAATTTGTTGAGTATTTAAACATTTTTCCTGATCTGGCAGTCCCACCTGTTAATAATTTGAATTAATTTTTCAAAAGACTGAACGGAACAAAATTTTCTTGTCACATTTCAGCGCGGAGTCTGTCATGTGTGATTAATTAATGGACACATGCAAATTAAGTCAATTAAACTCAATTACGAGCAGCTGGGATATGTGTCTCTCTGGTACTAGGGAGGAGGAGGAGGAGGAGGAGGCTCTCAACACCCGCCACAGCTAATAGTGTCGGCGTGTGAAATAATTGCTGATCAAGTTGTAACTCATACCAGCTGTCACTCCAACACCACCTGACCTCACACCAGCTGTCCCTTGAGCACCACCTGCCCTCACACCAAC